CGAGCGCGAAAGAGATTAACCAAAGCCGACCTATCTATCCACTGAATGCTTTGGCGGTCGATATGTAGGTGTGCGTCGGAAGATCTACATAACGTTACGTCCATATTGTACGCGATATTCACCAATCTTATACTCGCTCGATTTGGTTACGATAGACCTTGCTGACGAAAGTCAAAGAATGTATACAGCTGACGCCCGCGACTCCATCTGCGCAAGATTAAAAAGGCCCTGGTTCATATAGACTATATTCTACATCCACATATCAAGAGACCTTTTACTACTACTACTACTCAGCCATGAGACGCCCACTGCTGGGCATAGGCCTCCCCCAAAGATCGCCACGATGACCTACCTTACGATACCTTCTAGCAAACATCTATTCATACATAAATCCAAACATTCGTATTTATATACGTATAAGACGTAAGATAGTAGTAGTTTATATTGAATAAATTTGTTTATCTGAATTACGGATAACTATCCAATGGGTTTATAAATAAATATTTATGTTGTATCGCAATGCGGGCGTTGTGATGACAATTTGAACAATTACACAGTTAACGAGAACCAACCGGACCGGGGGTGGCCGCACTGCGCCGCGCCGGACACAATGTTGCTCTACTTTACGATTTTTAATATTTTGTATTTCAAAAATTGGCATACGATGAACCGGGACACCTTTAAATGCCATTAAATGCACAAAAATCAAATTAAAAAATTGTTCCTGTTGAACTTACATACATACATAATACAAAATGAATTAGTATATACTTTTACACTGATTTTAGTACAATTTTTTGTTACTTAATAAGCATTTAAAATCAAAAGCTAAATAATTTATGCAACAAAGATATTCTAATAACCCATTTGTCTATTCATAAATTATTTCGCTATCGTAGATGCGTGTAATAAATTCAAGTTATCATTCAATTTACAACGCGTACCGATCAACTACAATTGAATTATCGGCAAATAATTATCAATTAAATAGAGCATCTTGTAGACATACTGTGAATTTTGCTGGCATATCACATAATGACCGGCAGCAACAACGTAATGAAGACATCAACCGATTTACAAAATTAAAAACAAACCGACCCAAAAAAATTAAAGCTATGTACCGTACCGCCTTGCGTTTAATCTCCGCGCGGTAAAATAACGCGAGATTAATAATAATAAATTTAATAATATTTGTTACCCTAATACATGAGTGATACATAAATTATTTCATATACAAGTGAAAGTAGCAAAGTTCGAATAGAGTAAATGAGACAAACAGGATGTTCAAACTCAGTTGTTTTAGAAAGGAAACAAACATTTTTTGTTAATAACTAATCCGAAACTAGATGTAACATAAAGCAGGTGCTCCGCGCGTAGAGACAATACGAATAGTACTAAAGAAGCGTAGAGAAACTGAAATTATTACTTGCAAATAATAATATTTGCTTAACAATAGTGGAACATTTCGGCCATTGTTGACTGGCAGCTTCTCACATTCCGAATTCCAAATTTAAAATTTCCTGTTCTAAAGTTGTTGGAAATAAATTATAGTTTTAAGAAATTGACACGATTTTATATTACTTATTAATAACTTGTTTTAAAGCCGTTTTCGTTGCAACAATAAAGGGCGTACGTACTCTTATCAAGCATATATAAAACCAAAAACTTTACCTTGATATAACATTATGTGGGATACTTCAATTATCTTGATTTTAATAATTTCCAATTAATTATATTAGTTAAGATAACCTTAATTTATTTAATCATTGTTATGGACAATTCTTGTGAATTTTCTCATAGTCTGGTGATGTAAAAAATTTAACTCCAACTAATGGAGTTCAAAAGTATCATTAAATATAAATATATATGTGTGCGCGTGTCTGTATATATTTTTGTATGTTGTTTGATTTCACCGTTATCTTGTATAATGGCCAAAGACCTCTTCAAGTCTCAAAAACTTCTATATATTTTTTAAATTTTATATTTCTCTTGCTTTTTTTTCAATATAATTATTTTTTAAAAGTGCACATTTGCAATTATATAATTTAAAGTTGTTAATACAACAAATAAGTCAAGCAAGTAACAAAATATTTGTTAGTAATTAACACTTAAATAGAAAAAATTATCAATGGTACGAAATAGGCATTCAATTTTCAACCTAAAAATAATAGTGTAAGATTCAAAATTCAATGCACCTCACAATAGAGTACAGGTATCAATCCGTGTTCGTTCAAAGCCGCAATCACACCATTTTTTTTCTTTCTAAAAAGAGCGGTCATTCATTCATAGTTATGAATGAATGAACTACCTGGGCCCGTACGCTCGGGGTGTCGGAGTAAGCCTCTGTGACGTTTTTGTTTGTCTTTTTTAATACCGGATGTGAGACAAATTGGTGTCCGTTAGGTTGTTTCATCATTCAATCCTTATTTTGGGTTCCTTGAGATTAAGAATAAAACCGTGTAGTGCATTAACATTATTTTTATAAAAATTGATCAGGTCTAAATATTTTAGCAAACTTAAGCCTAGTAAATACACATAAAGTACTTAAAAAATCTTTACAATATTATGACAGGGAAATGTTTTGTTATGTTTTAAGCTATCTCCAGAACCGTTGCATGGATCTCGTTAAAATTTGGCATAGATGTAGAACATAAACTGGAACATAGGCTACTTTTTTTTTTAATTGCGCGAGGACGTAGTCGCAAGCGACAGCTTGTATTGTGTACATAATATAAATTAGTGGCGATAGTGGAGTCACATGACTAACAGTTGCTTTTTCTTCGTTTTCTATATCTTAAACTTGTACGGAACCTTTGTCTTTTCAATTTGTATTACCTGTTACACTTATAAGGGGACTGTGGGAAATATTTTTACTTTCTTTCCGACATCGACGATTTTTTTTTGTTTATGCTCGGACTTTCGGGAAGTTCAACAACGATAGTACTACCCACAATTGTTTTTTAAATCTGTCTATTCATTTTTTATTTTTACACACACCTTTGAAATGTTTAAATTTAAAAACAATTTAAGAAATTCGCTTACATAGCAATTTAAATAGTTTCAAAAAAAATTGATCGTTCTTGTGTTCGCACCATATTCTATTTATTCTATAATAGTTGACTTTTTTCTAATTTAATAAACAAAAATAAAACTATAATGCGAACAACATACTTGAACATTAAATCGTAGCCAAATTTAACGTAAATGTTTTAATTTCTGATTTTATTTTGATTGTTAAGTACAATGTTTCTTGTATGTATGAAGTAAGTACATTCACATATCGCACCGCTGCTACGAAACGTCTACGCGCTACAGCCGCCTTCGTAGAGGCGCTACAAAACGGAATCCGTTAGATTGGAATCTCCGCTATAAACAGATTTTCAACTAGTTTGACTCTTTAACATGTTTTAATTTTAAATAAATAAATTTCATACCAAAATTCATCTTAGCATTTTTTCATTTTGTTTCCAAACTCTAAGAAGGTCTATGTTTTTGTTAACTATTTAACTAAGATATACTATCATCAGATGTAAACTGTAAATGTATTTTCCTCTATGAATAAAACGTAATTTATAATAACATCCTCTCTAGAGCAAAAATTAAATAGCTTGCTAATATATGTACATCTAATTTGAATTTATTTATTTTATCAAATATCCAAAAAGATAAGAAAATCATGTAATTCTATTGATATCTTTGCCGTTTATTTACATGTTGTATGAAAGACATAAACGTCTATGTGATATTATTCTCACCCCGACACAAGAACAAAAATTGTAAAGCGCAATATTATTTGGTTGTAAAGGAATAAATGGTAATGTAAATCAGAAACATAGATAAATTAAATTTGACCTTACCGAGGTAAAACGAACTGATTCATTGAAAATATTTAAAATAAAATGAAATATAGAACATGTTACTCAGAAATAAAAAAAAATCTACAGAAAAAGTAAATGACTTATAATAGAAAAATCGGTATCATTGAAAATAAGTTAAATTGAATAATAGGATACCTATAAGCTAAGTAACGGATGAAGGTGGTGCCGAGCCTGTGAGATGGGACGCCACATCAGGGGCGCAAAGTGATAGGGCTCGGGCCGACTCCCCGAGGTCTGGCGCACCCCACACCCGCGCCGCACCCGCACCCGCACCCGTACCGCACCACACCGCACCGTTAGAGCGCCACCCGCTAATTACGAGCCGCTCGCAAATTAATCATCGCGCGAGATAAATCGGCTCGTGCTCGCTCCGAGACTATTTTGGTGGAGGCGGGGCGCGAACCGAGCCGAGGGGCCAGTCGCGCGCCGGCCGCCGACGTGTGAGCATCGCGTGTGGGAGCGCCGATCGTGTTGCGATGGAGCGATGAGGGCGTGCGGGCGCGCGGCGTTTTGCTGGGCCCTGCTGTGCCTCGCCGGTGGCCTGGCGGCGCCGCGCCGCCTCTATTGCGAGCGCGCCGACGTGGCGTGGCGGGCCTACCGTGCGCCGGCTGCCTTTGAGGCGCGCGTGCAGTCCCTGGCGCGGGACGCCGCCACAGTGCAGGTGCGCCGCGTGCTGCGCCGCCAGGGCCGCTGGCCCCGCGAGGACTCTATTCTGCGCCTCGAGCTGCCGCGGGAGAACCTCGAGTGTTCGGGACGTTTCGAAGTGCCCTTGGAGAACAGAAAGAACTATATCGTGTTCGCGGAGCGGCACGGGCACGCCGCAGTGGCGCTGGGCCCGCCGCTGCGCCGTACCGCCAAGCTGATGCGCCGCGTGCGCGCCGTCTACAGGCAGGGCTACAGTGAGTTTTGCGCTTTTCTACCCTACCATATCCCGCACGGATGCTGAACTGACTATTTTATGTCCACTTACACTTTTCAAAGTTCTTCAATCTTAAGTCTTCAGGGACCCTCAAAAATTGATCAAATTCATTCTACCTCAATACACCTCTTACGCATTTGAGTACATTTTTCTCTTATGTTTACAGAAATTTATTTTTTTATAAGGTAGGTTTACTAGGTATTTTTATGAAATCGTAATGTAAACTGAACACGAACCACGAATCGTAAACTTCGTCGGCGCTAAACGCTTTGCGGTTCGTCGAAAAATTAAAATAGAAAAGCATTAGCTAACTCGAACTCTATTATTACATTTTTAATATGCCAATAAATTTAAGTGCTAACAAACATGCACCGGGCAGGTGCATCGGGGGAACAAGTAGCTATTACGTGTCCATTTTAGGCGCAAGAGTAAATAGTGGCCGCGCGGCGCGGCGCGGTCAGTGTAGCAAGACGTGCGCGCCCGCCGCCCGCCGCCCTCCGCCCGCCACGGCGACTCTCATTTATGCACCCTTAGTAACGGTCAGGTGGTCGTAGGGCAAAGAGAAGGCCTTTTAACACATAACTAACAATATAGCTAGATATATGTTACATTACATATGCCAAAACACAACTGACTCTTTGAAACCAACAATAACTAACTTCATCAAAATCTCATAGTAATAGTAATAAAAATGTGTAAAATATAATTGCACATTGAAGACCGTAATCTAGGATTAAAATCAACAACAATTATGCATTCTGTTTCTGTTGGATCTAACACGACAAAAAATATTGTATTGTCATGATGAAATCACGGCATTAAGTTATTTTTCTATACTCATTACTTGCGTGTTACAGATCTACGTTGTAGATAAGTTTGTTTCCGTCTCTACTAGAATATATCTGTCTCATTACAATAGAATCTTTCTTAAAAATCTCAACGGCTCAAAGAGGCAAAACTTTGATCTACAAATTCTTATTTTTATAATAAAATTGACCCCGTATCAAAAAGAAATTAAAGACAATAGTCGTCATCTACAAATATTTTATCAATATTACGTCATAATCATTTTCCTGTCCAATTCCCTTGTAACAGATTGAGCAAAAGTCGTTTTATCTTCTATATATTATATATTTGACATTTCGGCGTTAGTTGTTTTGGTCAGTCCATCCATCCAATCAAACAATGCTAAACTTCTTACCACAAAATATGCCGACTCTATATAAAATTCATCATTGCAACTAGCTGTTATAATTGTATAAATGATCTTTACAATTGTATAGAGCCTTTGAGTCAGCACGGCTCCGGAAATATCCGAGGTTGTGCCAAAAAAACCAATCCGCGAGAGTTAGCGTAAGAGATCGTACCGCGAGTGAGGGACGGGCACCGACAGGTCGCAACTGGACCGTGGCGTGACGTCATCGCCATTGAGATATCGTTTGTCAATACTACTGTCGATTTAGATGACACTCTCCTCAGGTACGATAAATTGATTTATTTGGGAGAAAAAGATCGCGATGTCAAACAATTACAAATCTAACTTCATAAAATCTGAATGTTTATTAAAAGCAACTGAGCTTTATTAACGTCATTTAAAAAACACAAAATGCTATCCTTGTAATTTGGTCGTGATTTGACGAGTAATCAAAAGTTGTTCGATAAAATAAATTGATAATTTAAATGAAATTAATAAAAGTCCATCCTTTATTAGTTTCCCAAAAAACACAATCTTCCAAGTGGCAGGACTCATGATAGGGCTAAAAAGTACAAATGATGTGATACATATAACGCCTTAATATTTTGGTTACATATAATGAATACAGAAAGTGACTGTAAATTAGTATTTGAAGGCGCGGTGTGAAAGAGCAGAGAATAGAGTGGCGCTTGCGGCTCGCGTCGCCGTTTGTTTACGTTCGCCGCTTGCTTGTTGCCCGTCAGCTAAATGTTTATCCTTCTGGATGCTATCCATCGTTTTTCCTTTGTTAATGTTCGTTTCACTTTCATTATTCGATTGTAAATCTGTCTCGGTTTGATCTATAAACTGTTAATCATATAGATCATGTCAAAACTGCGTACGCGCACCGACATTACACATTTTTTTGCAATCTATAAATAATTCTAAGATTGTTTATACTATTGGCATTCTCCGTGTATTTATCATAGGCGATATAAGAGCTCTAAAACCAGACAGTCGGATCCCTGAATTGATAAACATCTAGCGCCTTGAACATTCTGGCTTACAATAATCAACTGAAATAATTAGCTAAATGCCTCAGACTAGTCATTGCTGTCGCTGTGTGAATTTGCAAACGAAACATAAAACGAATTGCATCAAGCAGTTTTAGACTATCGCTAGGAAAATAAACAATGTTAATCTTTCATAGTTTATTGTTGTTTTCATTTATTGTTATATTAAAAACGAAATTATGATTAACGTGTTGGATTTAGCTTTAATTTCTAGAAATTATTATCCTCTCTATTGAGAGGATTAGATTATTATCTATTTTGTTATTTTGGTTAACTTATTTTAAAAAGTTATTAATCATCATATTGCAAATGTATGTATAGATCAAGTTAAACATTTGTATCAGCCACGACTAGCACAGTTCGTAGACCTGCGTTGAGATTTCGATGAGTCAACGGATTGTCTCCAGATAGTGCTTGTGTATTTAGAAGATATATTACTTCAAAGTGTTAGGCATTGACTCAGTCTATTTCTACTTTTATATTTAGATCATCGGATGTGATTTATGTCGCGTCTCGTGCGATGTATCATAGTCTCTGGAAGTCGCGTGTGCGATCGACCTTCTTATCGACATCATACAAGTCTCCTATAGTTCTCGTCTTATTAAAAAGCTTTTATTTGACGAAAGCGCACGGCGGCGGCGGCGCGGCGTTACGGCTTGGCAATTCTCCATTATTCCTGATCCGCTCCGGCGCGCTTTGACTCCTATTAGAAATATTAACATGCCTCGTATTATAATATTTTATTATCAGCGGTATTTTTAATCACTTTAGACGTACGCATAAAATCTCACAGTCTGTTTGTTGAGTTGAAGTGTTTCGAAACGATTTTTACTATGCGTTGGTACTATTATGTAATTTGAGTTTAACATTTTTTGGTATTAAAAATATTGGATACAAAATGTTTCGTCGCAAAAAGCTTATTTACTTAATGACAAATGGACTTCCTCTTTACGCTTTTTACACACAGAAGATTTTAGGACTAGTCAATCAGGTACCTAATTTTCAAAAAACCACGTCTTCCATTCATTTCCCTGATCTGTATTCAATAACAAGAAACAATCGAGCGTCAAACGGCGCAGGAGCGCGTTAAATGGAATTACTGAGATGTGACATTTACATTTAGGGGATGAGCGTGTGTCGGCGGCGCTTTGAGCGATGGCGGTGGTGCGTGGACAAAAAATACCTACAATTAATCTATGGGAGCATTGAGTCGAGACCATTATGTCGGCGGGTACGGATGTACGCGTTAATCGCAAGGCCGACGGTCCAATAATCCAGCGGCTGCCATTGTTCGGGTCCAGCCATCGATGTCGGCGGCGTGCGGTCCCGGCCCCGCGACACCGCCGCTGACATGCTAACTTACCGTAACTCCTCAATTTCATTATTTTTCTACCGTTTGTTTCTCCATTATTTCCCTAAAAGCCATTGTCCATTAATAGGACCAGAGTTTACTGCGGCTACTTGACACTTAACAAGAACTGTTTTATGGGGTGCTTTTCGAACATTAAACGGTGAGGAAACCTTCAACAGGCGAACTGGTGTTATCTAAGAATGGAACTGATCTGTCTTCTAATTGGTTGGACTTCTCGCGATACGCGAATATACTTTCGACAAGTAAAAATTTACATCCATAAAACTATGTTTTTGATATTATCAATAGGAAAAAGTGTTGACCTTTTTGCCGCTGTATGAATAAGCAAAGGCAACCAAACGCACCTGCGAGTAGGTAACCTATTTTACGAATTGAAAATAAACAATGTTTACAGTAAACATTTATTCTTGAGATACATGTTGTAGATTTTTCTATGTAATATTATATAAAGATGATGATTATATACTTATGGTACATAGATTACGTAGGTTACCATAATATATAACTTTCAATATTATCATAAACTATCTTTTGCTTCAATTGTGCAGATATAAAAGTAATACGCGTATATAGAGCTTCGGTGGCTCAGTGGTCAAGCACTTGACTTGCAATCTGCAGGTCCTGGGTTCGAATCCCGCCATGTACCAATGTGTTTGTCGATTTCCGATTTACATATGTACATTTATCCGACGTTCTTACGGTGAAGGAAAACATCGTGATGCAACCTGCACATATCTGAGAAGAAATTCAAAGATATGTGTGAGGTTAACCAACCCGCACTTGGCCAGCGTGGTTGACTATGGCCTAATCACCCTTAACTTTAGGCTCCGAGCCCCTCGGTGGGGACGTATAGTGAACTGATGATGATGATGATGAAAAGTAATATTATACAATGTATTATTTGATAATGTGTTATATACCTGTGCTAAATTTCAATAAGATATGTCGAATCGTTGCCGAGTTTTACATATAATATATGATTGATGCATATATGCAAATAAACTTATAGTTATAAAAAATCTAGTTTCTATCTAGGCATCATAAAGCATATTTAATAAAAAAATATAAGCAGATCAATTTAATTAAAACTTCCAGATAAAAATTGTAAACAAAACAAACATTTAATTAGGCGATCAAATTGTAAGTCAACAAAAATGACAGCATGTTTACAACGTGCCAGTGACAGTGATTGTATCAAAAATACGTGCGATAATTAAAATTTCTTTCCAAAAACCCGAAATCAACTGTAAGAGCAATTTGTGTAACAAATACAGGCCGAAAGTAGCGGAATAAAAAGGTCAAAAACTTCCGCCGCAACTGACAGCGAACTTTATAAAAAAGCGTTCATTAATTTTCACATG